CTGTGAGGGACTTAGGGGTTGTTGACAGTCAAGGTGGTCATAGGTGTTGGTAAAAAAATCTTCAGAAGGATTCAGAAGAGCATAAGTCCATGATGCTTAGGAAGTACCAACACTGAAAGCAGGGAGCTGAAGTCAGGAGTTACAAACCGGGCAGAAACTGGAGTGGAGGGGAAGCAGGCTAGAGATGTGGGCAAATGCTGTGGACAGCCTGCCTGTTGCATGCAGTGGCCTTTACTGGCATTTGGGCAGGTTTGTATCAGGATACGGGGTTGGGGCAGACACCAAATAATCAAAACAGGACTTATTTGTTAGCGTAGCTTTTAGTTGCAAGTAGAAAATTTAACTAACAGAGACGAACAAATAGGGATTCTGCTTATCCACTCAAAGTCAGTATGTGACAAGCCAAATCTACCATCTTGCTTCCTTCTCCATTTCTGCCTTTTGCTGAACCATAAGGAGGGAGCGCAATGTAATGGGGAGACAGGGGATCTGATCCAAGTGTCGGGACTGTGAGTTCCCATCTTGTCCCCTAAAAGTTGGCCAGGACTCTTGGTTGCAAGTAAGAGACACTCAACTCAAACTAATTAAAGTATAAAAAGAGATTACGTTGGAACACCTAACAGACACACCCATTGGCTACCGTGCTGCAAACACAGCTAGACCCGGGTGGTCAAGCAAGGTCACCAGGCATCTCTGTCCTCTTCTGTAAGCTCTGCTCTCCACATCATTGCTTCATTCTCGCAGGGGCTCTCCCAGCATTATGGCCAAGTGGCCACAGACAGCCCTGTGCTTACACCCTAGTAGCTGAGAATCTCCAGTAGTCTCTCATTGGCCTGGCTTGAGCCGTGTGTCATCCCTGAGCAGTCAGTGCCCTCTGATTGGTCAGCCCCAGCTCACACGAACTGCTCTACAGCGGAGGGTAGGGTCTGCCCCATCTAAAGCTCATGGACTGAGGGCTGGTGGATCTTCAAAGGAAAATGGATGTTGGAACAAAAAGAAGGAGAAATTAATGTTGGGCAGGAAAAATCTACCACTATGATAATAGTGCCTTCCTCAAGCCCGCTTGTGGTGAGGATTGAGTGAGAGAATACGCACAAAAAGAGCTATATGTAATTATCCATTGTGTCCCAAGAGATTCAGACTTGTGTCCTCTTTTTTGCCATCCTCAAATTCAGCCTACTTGGGTAACAATGTATTTTGAAATTTTAAAAATGATTTAGTAACATTTAAGAATTAGTAATGTTCACATAAAAATCCACATTTCTGACAGTTCTGGAAACATTGAAATGTCTCACAGTAATCAACTGTGCCAGTATGGGGTTCCCCTCACAAGAAGCAGGTGCTGCTCCGTCTGCCCGCAGTCTGGCCCCAGGCGACATCTGGGATCCTCTTCCTGTCCTCACAGCCTGGAGGCCCACCACTCTTCCCTGGGACCCTCTTCCTGCCTGGTACCCTCACTTCATTGCCTTTGCCCACGGTCTTTCCTCTTCCTCCCCATCGATCTAAATCCCATCCGTCCTTCAAGGCTAAAGTACCAGGACTCCCTCAAACCTCCTCTAAGCATCCTAGCTCTCGGAGAGCTCTCTCTTCTAGCCTTCTATGTAAGGACATCCGGTGACAACCAGGACGGCACAGGCCGTGAGTGCCCAAATGGCTGTGAGTACAGAGCCATCTGCACTGTAAAACAGACGGGGATACATGAGAGAGGGCAGAGGCAGGCGAATGCGAGAAGATAAATAGGAATTGACCTAGCAAAAAAAATTATTGAAAAATGTGTTTATCATCTATTTTCAAATAAACTTCTACACTTTATTTATAATTCAAAATATAGGAACACACAAAATGTGCTCTGTCACTGCAACCAGCCTTTAAAGAGTTATATTGATGGCATTGCTTAGTTTCAGAAGTAAAAACGTCAAGGTAGCTCGTGTTCAGGCTTTACTCTGCAGCCGTAAAGAGACTCAGGAATAAGAATTGTGGTGAAGCTAGGGCGAGAAGGCAGACAATGATTCTCCAAGACCAAGGAGTGAGTCGCTTCTCCATTTTCCTCTTAGAATAAAATAGCATTTGGAGATGGTACTCAGTGAGCTAATATTAGAACAATTTGATCTACGAAGGTCGGGTTGGTGTGGTCAAAGGGGAGTGACTAGTGTGATGCAAACACTTTTCTATGATATAGAGAGTAATAATAACGTGGCTCCACCATTAAAAAAAAGCTACGTCGGGGCCAGCCCAGTGGCGCAGCGGTTAAGTGCTCGTATTCCGCTTCGGCAGCCCGAGGGTTCGCAGGTTCGGATCCCGAGCACGCACCAACGTACCGCTTGTCAGGCCATGCTGTGGCAGCATCCCATATAAAGTAGAGGAAGATGGGCACAGATGTTAGCCCAGGGCCAATCTTCCTTGGCAAAAAGAGGAGAATTGGCATCTGATGTTAGCTCAGGGCTGATCTTCCTCACACACACACAAAAAGCGAAGTAGCAATTTAGAGTAATAGTCTCATAGGACATGACTGGTCTCTCATTTTTAACCCCTGATGCTTGTTTAAAGACATTGTCCAGCCTGTCATGCAGGTGTTAAAACTGTAATTATGAAGGACAAGTAAAACATGGGAAATATTTGTATCATATTAAATTTCAAAAAAGAATAAAATATAGTGTAATATGCTTTCAACTAAGTAAAATTGTTTCCATATATGTGGACAAGGATAGTAAGGTAAATATTAAAAAATTAAAATAGCTTGTTTATTAAGGAAGTGAGTGGACTTACAGGTGATGTTAATACACATTTTAAAGGTATTTAATATTGTCACATTCTCTTGTCAATTGAAAAAGAAAAGAATATCCATCCACTTGGAAGAAAAGAATATTGTCTTCTTAATCTCTGATTTAAGGAAAACTGGTGTGTCACCTTCCAGATTCCGTAGACCAGGAGGGGGAAGGGGACCCTTTGCAGACCTTATCTCTGTTTTGCCCAGCATTGTTTGTTCTTTAAAAGTGTCACACTGCCCCCTACTGTTCAACAAGCTAAAATCTAATATCCTGTATAGCCACTACATTTTCTTTCTATATTTGCTGAATAATCAAGGCAATTAAAAAGAGAGAGAGAGAGGAATACCTCCAAGTCTTATAAAGTTGTGGGCGTTCTATGAGTTGTCAGTATTTTCTGTTTTTTAAGTCACCTTTAAAATGTCACACATGTTTAAGCCCTTGATGGGCAGGTTTGCAGACTTTAGTTGCCCTCAAGCAGCAGAACTTGTCAGCAGGGCTCTGGGAGACTCACGTTAGATGATGTGATATCACTAACAGCTTCCAAAAGTTTGATACTCCCTTAATAAAATGGGTCCCAGAAGAAGCAACAGGACTACCAAACTCAGGCATGTAATCTTACAGGACCTTCTTTGAGATTCTGTTTAAAATCTTTGAACCAAAGAAAAATAAATGAATAAGGATGCATTTTGAGCAGGCATTGCATATAAAACAGTGACCACACATAACCCAAGGCAGGGTCAGATCCTGCTTTAAAAAGGCCTAGAGTGTACATATAATTTGGAGGGCCCTTAAAAAAAACCTAAAAACTATCTACTTTTGCAATTTTTTTGTGTGTTCCTGTGAGGAAGATTAGCCCTGACCTAACATCCATTGCCAATCCTCCTCTTTTTTGCTAAAGAAGATTGGCCCTGAGCTAATGTCCATGCCATCTTCCTCTACTTTATATGGGGTGCCGCCACAGCATGGCTTGACAAGCGGTGCGTTGGTCCGTGCCCAGGATCCAAACCTGTGAAGCCCAGGCCGCTGAAGCAGAGTGCACGAACTTAACCGCTACACCCCCGGGCTGGCCCATACTTTTGCAGTTTTTCACAAACCACAAAAAGCACCTTGTAGGGTCTTGGAAGAAGCTCCTGGCCTCTAAGTAAGGGCCCCTGAAGCTTAAGCTTCACAGCTCCAGGAAAATTGGCCTCTGCTCCCAAGGTATTGTTTCACTGCAGCTTCTGGACTTTTCCTTGAGCATTATAATTCACAGAGCCTTAGTAACTTAGTACGTGGTCTTAGCACTTGGTCTTAGTCTGTCGATGAATTATAGAAGACCAGATGCTTCCAGGACTCTAGAACAGATAGTGATGGAATTAGTGCAACTCTTTTAAACTATTTTAAGAGGCTGAATCCTGACCATTGATCTTCATGTCTGGCTGACCCCCAGGAGAGGGTAGCTTTTGTTCACTGAGCACCCGTGAAAACCTAGATGTTAATCTCGAAGATTAGAAGCCAGGCCAAGTGGGAAAAAGTCTTTAGCTGTCACAAAGATTAGGTTTCTATTATCCAAAGCAGAGGATGACTTTTTGGATGCTAATCACAGGAAATAAACAGCTTCTTTGGGTGGGATCTCAAGCAGCACCTAATTAGGTGTTACTTGAGCTTTCTGATGTTTTGTCTTCTCTGTCCATGTTTTTGCTCATTTGTGGTACACTACCTGCTTCCTTCCACAGTGTGTAGAGTCTGTGACCGCAGGGCTCTTGCCTGTCTTGTCCCCAGAGCCAGGCCACTGCGTCTGGCCATGCAGACTCCACTGTGTAATGCCCGGGCGCCCTTCCCTGTGTGATGGCAGCCTACAGCTGCACTGTAGCCTGTCAGGAGCCGGGGGCTGACCCCCGCGCAAAATGTCCCTCAACAGTGTCGTACCGAGTGAATGGAAGACTGATAGGTCAGCCTGTGCGTTACTCTCACTTGAAACAGAGGATGAGAATTGAAAGATTTTGTGTCCCATGTATCCAAGTGCACGTGCAAACTGGTTTCATTTTGATGATTTTTTCTGCCTACGTTGACTCTTGTAGACGGGTTTAGCTCAGCCGAGTCTGTGAAAGTCAGCCAGTGAGACAGATCGTCCAGGTCTTCTGATTTCCCGCGTCACACTCCACCTGTTGCCCATCCTTCAGCCTCCTGGTGCTTTCCTGAGCCTGCGGGCTGTGCCGGGGAGTGACGGCGTGTGCTGGCTTTCTGTTGCAGCATTCAGCGTGCGTGGCGCAAGCACCTGCAGCGGCGGGACCCGCTGGAGAAGAGGAGCCCGTCCCCGCCGTCCGTGTCCTCAGACAAGCTGAGCAGCTCCGTCAGCATGAACACCTTCTCGGACAGCAGCACGCCCGTGAGTGCCCGCTTCCTTTTCATGGCCTGCCTGGCCCACTGCCGGGCACCGGGGCTCTGGCTCTAGGGGAGCAGGTGGTTTGCGATAGGATTGACGGTGCTTCTTTGCTGTATGTGAACCCACAGTGAGGGCTTTGTGGTCTCAAAGCAAAGACACCATTCATAAACACAAGGTGAACTTGATCAAGGCTGAGGGAATTGATTGCGTTTGACATCAACCTAAACTACTTGTTTGTTGACCTTCCTCTATTACTGAGAATATCTTTTTACTTTTCTTTACAACGGCATATTCCTTTTAGTCTGTGCCTCTGGTAGCATTTTGTGGAGCTAATATGATAGACGATTAACTTGGTTATAAGGATTACAAAGAGAACTTTCATAGGAAGAATTAAAAGGGGTCACAAACTCAGGGATTGCAACCCAGATTCCTACAGGGGCCAGGTGAGTAACCGTGTGGCTGATGGGGGCTGAGTTGTGACCGGCTAACCGAAGGACACAGGCCTCACCCAAAGAGCAGCTGCACTCACTCCTGGAAGCATGTTGCCATGTAGGGATGCAGGACAGACGTGGCCAAAGGTCATTTTGTTTCCCCAGGAGATGCCAAAAATCCAGGTTTTTAAATGTTGGCAACAGTAAGAAAGTTTAAAACGTAAATAGACCATGCCTACAGACCACAATTGTGCCAGGGGCCACCAATTTAGGAACTCTGGGGTACAGAGCTAAAGAATGAAGGAATCTGATGCAAGTCTTTATTTTTTTTAAAAACATGCCAAATGTAGTAGGGTCAGGCAATTGTAATGCAGGGTTTTGTGGATTTAGTCATTGTGGTCCTTTATGGTAGTCACTGGAGTGCTGAGAGAAGCTAGGAAGAGAATGAAGTAACTACACAAGCGTGTTATTTTCAAAAAAATCTTCCTTGACTACTTTGCAATGATGTTTATTCAGCTGTAAAAAGTTGCAAACCAAACAGCCAAAATAATGTATGTGCCCCTTCATCCCTTTTGGCCTCCTCCCACCCACTTCCCCTCTGGTAACAACTAATCTGTTCTGCTTATCCACGTGTTTGTTTATCTTCCACACATGAGTGACATCATACGGTGTTTGTCTTTCTCTGTCTGACTTATTTCACTTAGCATAGTACCCTCAAGGTCCATCTCTGTTGTCGCAAATGGCACGATTTTGTGTTTTTTATGGCTGAGTCGTATTCCGTTTTATGTATATACCACATCTTCTCTATCCATTCATCACTTGCTGGGCACTTGGGTGGCTTCCCTGTCTTCAGATAATTGTGTTGCATATTCCTTAATGAACAGTTTTATCTAGTTATAGAATCTAAATAGAAGCAGTAAGATGAGTTTATAGCTGTGCAAATAACAGTGGGATAAGATCTATTGTTAGCTGACAGCAAAAAGTGATTGCTTAGTGAACCTGCACTGTTTTCAGACAATTGTTGGTGGGAGTGAATGGTCTTAACTGGACTCACTATCACTAGAGGGCGCTCATGAACCACACTGGAAAATGTCTGAGTTTAATAAAGTTTGTATTTAACTCATGATTTGCGAATGAAAAATAATGTGAAAATTGATTGTTTGGGATGCCTTCGCTATGTATGCCAATAGAAAGTGGAAATTAAATGACTTCAAAGATTTTATTTGAATGATAGAAACTGAAGATCAGAAGTCCCTCTGCCTGTGAGGTGGAGGTCCTGATGTACTGCCTCTGTGCTTTCTCACAGCCTCCATTCCGACAATGTCAGCGGTGTGGAGTCCAGTGATATGTAATGGTTTTAGTTAGCCTCCTGGCTTTATTGAAATTCTGGAAGAATCTATCTTTGCTTTATGTTTACGCTGCCACACTGCTTTGATTCTAGCACCTCAAGTGTTTTGTGCATAAGTGCACGTTCTTCCCCCTCATGGGTCATCACGTTTATTTCTATCTTTGCACAGCTTTGCTAACAGCTCTACCTTATTTAGTGTAGCCTAGCCTCAGGTCCCCTTTTGTGTGTTAGCAGAGGAGGTTTCCTCTCTCCAGTATCCCCTGCAGTGGTTTCTTGTGGGGTATGTCAGGCGGATTGGGGGTGGCGTCCTGCTCCCCACCACATCACCATGCCTTAGCTCTGCGCTTGGGGGATAAGGAGGGCTCTATTCAGTGTGTGAAAGTCTGCCTCACTCCTGGCTGCCTATAAACAGTGAGAATCAAATCTGGTTTTCAAAAATATTCTTGGAACTAGCTTCAGAAAGCAAGCAGACCCTGCCCAGAATACCAATAGAGGTTATTGATTATAATAACAACTTTGGTATTGATGATGACAGTGGTGTGACATGAATGTACAAAATAAAACATGAAAATATAAGATGCTGGGAAATTCTCAAGTCTATAGTTTGTCAGGCAGGTAAAATATTCACGTCATAATTTTTTTTTCTCCCCAAAGCCCCAGGACATGGTTGTATATCTAGATGTGAGTCCTTCTAGTTCTTCTATGTGAGCCCCTGCCACAGCATGGCAAGCAACAGGCAGGTGGTGTGGTTTCATGACTGGGAAACGAACCCAGGCTGCCAAAGTGGTGAGATCACTGAACTTTTTAACCACTAGACCATCAGGGCTGGCTCAAGTCATAATTTTTTTTTTGCTGAGAAAGATTCACCCTGAGCTAACATCTGCTGCCAAGCTTCCTCTTTTTGCTTGAGGAAGATTTTCCCTGAGCTAACATCTGCCAATCTTCCTCTATTTTGTATGTGGGTTGCTGCCACAGCGTGGCCGCCACCGAGTGGTGTAGGTCCACGCCCAGGAATTGAACCCAGGCCACTGAAGTGGTGCAAGCCAAACTTAACCACTAGGCCATGGGGCTGGCCCCTCAAGTCATAATTTTTAAAATGTTATGCTTAGTTGTTTGGAGCTAGTATAACTAGCTAGGGTTGTTTTATCTCCCATGGTCATCACTCTGCTGGGACCTCTTTCAGGAAGATTCATTCTAATATCTTTTTGTTGGTCACTGACCAATGAAAGGAAAGTGACTCTGCTCCACTTTGACCAGCCTGCCAGACCCACAGGGTTGATAGATACTCTCAGGAATCCCCAGACAGGAAGACTTGGTTTTACCTCTCTCTGAGACCTCAAGTTCATGGAGGGGATAGGATGACCCCTGGCCCCCCTTGGCTAAGCCTGTCATAAAGAGATGAGCTTCCTCTAACAACCAGTGAGTCCATTTGGAACTTCAGGGTCAAAAGCCTTTGGTCCAAGTCAAATGCTGTCAATGAGGTGTCTCCCTGGGGGATTCTCTGGGCCCCTCACTCCTACTAGAACCCTCCAGCTGGCTGAACCTCAGCCCTCTCTCTCTGGGCTTGATCTATTGCTGTTGCTGTCTATACCATTGTCTGTTTTCTCGAATCTGATCAGCTGCCTGTTTGGTCCCAAGTTGCTGCCTTCCCTCTACTAACCTCTAATACTAGCCTCAACTGAGGCCAGTCTGCCCTTGCCTGATCTGTGGGCCTTGCCAGCTGCTCCCCCGCCCCCCATGTCTACAATAACTGAAATTACTGCTCACTCTAGCCGCTTTCATGGGCATGTGCTGCCTGGGAGGCCAGCAGCCTGATCTGGGCGAGCCCTGTGCTGAGCTGAGAATGATGCTTTGCATGCTTCTGCTCTGATTGTTTTGGCTAAGCATAATGGTTAATATAGTTCTTAGAATATTTCTGCTCTAAAATATATAACAATTGTGATGTTTCAGTATGAGCTCTCAAACTCATCATCTTCATAAGTGCTGAGCACTGGGTATGCTCCAGCCCGTGGCTAATGCTTTCCCGGGGTTATTTCGTTTAATCCTCTCAATGACCACAAGAAGGAGGGACTATCATTATCTCCATTTTACAGATGATGAAAATGAGACTTAAAGAGATAACCGACTTGCCCTGGGTTACACACTGGGCCAGAGCCCACATGCTTCACTATTCTGCTCTACTGTGCCAATTGAATACAAGCCTGCATGGTCAAGCAGTGGAAGAGACAATCAGTTAATGCATTTCTAAGACTATTTTACAATTTGGTAGGTATAAACAATGAATGAAATAATTGGGGAAAAAACCCTCATTTGATTTTATATATGGCCTCATTCAATGCTCTTTGATTAAAACCTCAAACCTCAGGTGCTTAATGCCAAATTAAAAAGCAACAGGAGGGAAGATACTATTAAGTTATGTCAGCAATTTGCGTAATAAGCGCCCTTATACCACACTGTGTCATGTGGTAATAGAAACATTTGTTTTACAAATAGCAATTTTGCATAGCAACTGTTATTGGGAAATGGAGCTTGTGGGTTTCAAAGTGAGAAAAAAGAGTAACTTTTTTTTTACCATTAAATATTAGTTATTGCATGGAGGACAACAGTGGAAAATGCTTTGTGTATTTTTTATTAATCAATTTCTTATGACCAAATACTTACTCCTGTAGTTCCCAGCTCGAAGAAATCTGTAATTTGTCTAATAGGATATCATAGAAAGAAACTATGGAATCGTATATTCTAAATGACTAGACTGATAACCTTTTCACAAATCGTTAGCATACACCTGCAGATAAATCCAGAAAAATCTCGAGGCCTGTTGGAGACATTCTTAGTCCTGTTTGTCTTGGATTGGCTCCGTCTGCCCGGGGCCTTCCTTGCTGGCCACGCCCACTCTCTCACATCGGGTCCCATTTTATTGTGGTCGGCCTGCAGGGGGCAGTGTGGCTCCTGGCATGAGGTCCTGGCTTGGTAAGAGGACCTGACAAAGGTGAGTCTGAGACAACGCTTGAGAGCCATTCTTCCTCTGCAGACTGGAAATAACACCTGCCTCAGAGACGCATTGATGTGGCTGTGAGGAGTAAATGGCGCCACATAGGTAAAAAACAACACAGAGCCTGGACCCTGGACCCTGAAGCGGGTCGGTAAATGTTAGTCGGTTGTGAATCTGCCCTTGAGGGGCGGCCCTGTGGCGAAGCGGCAGGTTCGGATCCCGGTGCGCACCAAGGCACCACTTGTCAAGCCATGCTGTGGCAGTGTCCCATATAAAGTAGAGGAAGATGGGCAGGGATGTTAGCCCAGGGCCAGTCTTCCTCAGCAAAAAGAGGAGGATTGGCATGGATGTTAGCTCAGGGCTGATCTTCCTCACCAAAAAACCCCCCCAAACTTTCTGCTTAATGAATCTGCCCTTGAAATCTCTCCATGCGTTGAAAACACTACGGAAAACTTGTGAAGAGCAGAAGTGGAATCTGTGACTTGATTCTCATTGCAGGGCACAGTGTCTCTTTCCGATTCACCAAAGGAATCCATGAGAATCAAGCTGTGTCCTAGACTATATATACCACATGTATACCTATATTCAGCATATATATGTATATTCTGAGATTGGAGCTGTACATTACACAAGTAATAAATTCAGCATTTATTTTAGTGTTGCTCCTTTTAATTGCCATGTCCAAGGGTAAAACCAAGTGCGCGTCCTTTTGTCTCTGAGTGAGTCGGCCTCTTCTGAGGGCCCACACCCACGTAGGTAGTAAAGCAAGCCTAGACCAGGCTCGCTTCCAGACCTGCGGAGAGGAAGGGGACGAGCCGCAGCGCGCTGGGGCGAGCAGGGCCGCGCGTCAGCTCTCGGGCGGGGCGGTCCGTGCGAGAGCGCCGCGCCGGCAGGGCCTCGAGCCGCCGCCAGGCCCTGCGTCAGTCCCGGTCGGGGAGAAGTCCAGTGCTGAGCGGGTTCCAGTGCAGTGGCCTGGCCGCTGAAGACTCCGATGCCTCGGTTGTCCTGGGGAGAAGGCCGTGGAGCCCCCATAATTATGGGGCTGCTCCAGTGGTCCTGGCGTTTAGCAAGAGTAGCTGGATAGTCAGCAGCAGGCTGCCAGGTGACCCACCAAACTTTCCCAAGTTACCACCAAAAGCCAGCACTTCTGCCTGCGAACACGGTGTGCGCCTACCCTCACACTGCTTCATCGCCCTCCAGTTTCGTGGCCTGTTGAGATGTACGCCCTCCAGGCTCTACACACATCGGGAAGAATCCAGGGGCCAGAGGGAGAAAGTCTCCTCGCAAAGTTGCACTTGTTTCTGGAGGGAAGTCAGGCTCTAACAGAAGACCTTCTGGGACCCCGTCCAACACCGTCTTGAGAGCTGTGAAATTATAGAGAATGTAAGCCTTGTGCTGCTTAATAATGTAGTAACCTAGACCTTCCAGGTCGGGGACAAGTTACAGGATGATGCCCCGCTATCACTGTACATCTAGGTCCCGGAGTGCTAATGTTTCAGCACCCAAACTCTCTTCCATGCAGCCTCTCAGACTCTAAACAGCACAAATTCTTTCTCATTCTATTTGTCCCAAATTTTGGTTCAGAGAATATGGTAACCATATGTAAAAACAGAAGACTTCTTGGTATTTACATAGAGGTAGATACATTTCTCTTTTCTCCAAACCAAGGTCTGAGAGAATAAATGTTTTCTTTACCAAAGTTTCAGAAATTATATAATATATAACCATATATGACAGTTTGAATGAATATATTTTTGTATAAAAACATTATCATAAAGATATCACAAACACTCTCCTTTTTATGGCTTTGTATTATAGATCCAAAATTGACAGTTTGTTGTTTGATCGCTGACTCATTCATCCTTAGTAATGTAATAAATCTTCTTTCGCAGTCTCAAAGCTATTGACCTGTGAGTGCAGATGCAAAAACCTAGGCTTTAAGGACCTTGCTTTTTTTCTTTTCTTTTTCGCTGAGGAAGATTTGTGCTGAGCTGACATCCACTGCCAATCTTCCTTTTTTTGTATGTGAGCCACCACCACAGCATGGCCATTGACAGACGAGTGGTGTAGGTTCATGCCTGGGAACCAAACCCGGGCCGCTGAAGCTGAGTGTGCCGAACTTAACCACTAGGCCACCGGGCTGGCCCAGTACCTTGCTTTTGATAAAGAGGGTTGAGAAAAAACTTGTTCTTTTTGCAGTTTACCTGAAATCCAGTGTCAGCATTTGTCTGCACAGAGATCCATCCTTATGCTACAGCTTAGGTGAGATAAAGTATGAAATCTCTCATTTAGACCCAGAGTGCATCCTCTGTTACAAAATCCAGTTTCATTATTCCCAATCAGCATTTCACTTACTGGATGAGTATGAAAGATGCTTTAGGACTCAAGGAGAGGTTGCATGTAGTGGAACAGGAGTGAGGTCTACTATTGTATTCCTTTCTTCTGGAAAGCTCATTGGCCTAAGGCTCTTTTGGACTTTCTTTTTGTAAATAAGATGTATTTGGGATGGGGGAGTTATTCACATCCCTGGGTTAGGTCTACATCATTTGTTCGCTCATTCAACAAATATCTGAGTACCTACTGTGTGCTGGGCCTTTGCCAAGCACTGGAGATACAATGGTCGCCCAAACACACGCAACCTCTATCCTTGCAGAATTTATGTAATTCCCCAGTCATGCTGGCAGTTCTTGTAAAAATGTACGGATAACTTATAGGAGATACTCAATCACATTGCATTGATTAACCGTATAGAAGGTTTAGGTATTATTATTAACAAAAATCTGACTGCTGAAACCTCTTCAAGAGCAGAATTTCCCAGAATGTGGTACATGGAATATTAGTGTCATAGTTTACTGACAGATATTAATTAGAGGAAGGGTGACATAAACCAATTTATTTATTTCAGGACTTCTCAGAGCCTTGCTAAGCTAATACACATTTTGAATTTGCAGGAGGGGTGGTCACTGTTTTCCAAACTTCTTTGACTCTGAAACCCAATAAGAATCGCATCTTATTGGACTGTTGATCCATGGAACACTTTGGGAAACACTATTCTAGAGTTAGTAGTTGTTGAAAAAAAATTCCAAGAGCTGCAGTTTCTCTCTAAGTGTCTCAATAATAAAGTTAATAAGAGTTGAACAATGCATTTTGAAAACTTCCAATGAGATTTTTACACATGACATCTTTTTATAGGCCTCTATCATAGAGCTGTATTATGTAAATGCACATTTCATTAAGTTAGTTCATATATAAAACTTGTTACATTAACGGGCTAGTAGGGTTTAAATAAAAAGACCAAGTCTAGTCAACAACAAAACAGTATGGGAAGGTGGGGTTTTAG